TGCCCCCCCCTCCACACACACACACACACACACACACAGATAGTAAAAAGCTCAGAGCATCAAATCCCATTATTGTCAATAGATGTGCATGCAGCCACATTGGTGCAGCCACATGCACACACCGCCATTGACTATAATGGGGCGGGGCTCAAACCACTGATGACTAGGCCTCCAATATGGAGGAGTGACTGTAGGATAATAATATGGACACAATGCAGTTAACAAAGCCACTCACCAAAAGAAGTTCCTTTTTTCAAAGTCTTTTTATACCTAGCCAGCCCCCTCCTCTTTTCTTCCTTGTCCTCCGTCTAGCTAGGATTTTTTTTTAGTGACATTGCCATTGGGAGGAAGATGAAAGAGGGCTGGAAAAAAATAGTGCCAGATTGCACCATCATGTCTACAGTAAAAAATGCAATAAAACTTGAGTTGAGGAAAGGCACATTTCCACTCCAGCTGATCCTACTGTAGCTGTGTGTGCCTGCTTACAAAAGGCAAGATAAACCGCAGCTGCCTCCAGAATCCTTTACTGAGCATGTGTGGACATCAAAACAGAGAAAGGGAGAAAGCAGATCAGCCTACCACATCAGCTCCCCCACTATGTTAAAAATGCATAAATCTATAAATTTCATCACCAAAATAGAAATCATAAGAAAAATGGAAGCTCGTGTTTTGGAAGAGGCTTTCAAGTGGTCTCTGGAAAGGTCAAAGTGTTTTTGGTGGCTTATCTGACCTAGTTGTTTAATTTCACAAATGCATATTGTTAGTTTTGAATAAAAGATTGGCTGAAACATGTTGAGCTGCTTTTCTTGCCTTTTCTTTTTTGTGGTTGTTGTGGTGGTGTAGGAACATAACCATATTCTCTCCATGGATGCATCTACACTGCAAAAATACAGTTTGACACCACTTTAACTGCCATGGCTCCATCCTACAGAATTCTGGGAATTATAGTTTTGTGAACCACTAGTATTCTTTGGCCAGGAATGCTAAAACTACAAATCCCAGGATTCTATAGGATGCAACTACAGAACAAAGTGGTGCGTTATAGATGCATTTTGATACATCTACTTGTGTAGAAGGACACCATGTTATTTCTGCCTCCAGTGCCAAATTTTTTGTTAAAGACATAAGGATCAGAAACACATCTACTTCCTACTTGAGGTATGCTTGTATACATAAATATGGTAGCAGTTCCTGGCACATGATCAGGGGGAATACTGGTCTGCTGCATCAGTTAGCTTGAGAAGCACTTCATGAAAGCAGAACTCCACATGATGTCGGACTTCAGATGCTGATAAGAAATTGTTACTTTGTGTTCTCCAAGGAACTTTGTTACCAACTGTACATACAAATTTGAAGTAAAGTAGTGATGGAAACTAAACCTAACAAGAATCTGGATCTTAAATTATTTGGAAAGGGAATATTCAGGGGAAGTTAACACTTGTATATCTAGGTCATTGGAATACTTTTTTTTTAAAAAAATTAATCTACTTTTAAAAATACCTGTTACGATGGTGGAGATAGAGACATCTAATGGCTCTGCCATTACTGCATCTGCAACAACACAGGCCAGCTGAACTTTTATGAGTGGTTAGGAAGGTGCTTCACAAGAATCTTTTGGCTCAAGTTCTCAATAACTCACTGTGACCAGTCTGCATTGTGCTTTGCAAGAAAAATCCTTGTGTTCATGGTTTTCCAAACTAAGGATTATGAAAGTTTTGTGATTTGGTTGCTACAGTTACTCTAAGATCAATGCTGAACATAATTGGTTCATTGTCTGATCAATTTTATTTGGATACCTTTCAGCCTGTTCATCCTGAGAATATGGTCAAGTTTCTCAGAGGTTTATGATCCTTCTCTATGGTAAAGGCTTCCACAGGGGCAAGAGGTGTTGAAGTTCTTGACCACAGAGATGGTAAACACCTCTCTATAGAAAAATAAGATCCCTTTTGTCCTCAAGGTGGCAATACTGTAACCTGTACTGAAGAAATGTAGCTTTGAACTGTGCATCTTAGCAATTGTCTTATCAAGTATCCAATTTTGTTTTAAGCAAGATTCTAAAGAAGTCAGTAGCTTCTGAACTCCAGGCAGTCTTGGAAGAAACTGATTATTTGAACCTGGATCTTCAACAGGTTTGGGGACAGAAACAGCCTTGGTAGGTCTAGTAGGTGACACATACTGTGGACTGGTGGTGGGAAAGCTCTTGGTCTTGTTGGATATGTCCTTTAACACCATTGGGAAGCATGATGTTATGGCATTAATTGGAGGTACAGTGTTATGGTGGCTCTAGTCCTGGGTGGTTGACCATCACAGAAGATGGTGCTCTGTAAATTCTGTTCAGTGACCTTTGATCTGTGAAATACCTCAAGGGTCAATCTTTTCTATATCTGTATGAAGTCACTGGAGCCATCTAGAGGTTTAGGCTGCATGTTTCAGTATGCTGATGACATGTGCCTCCCTATTCTACACCTAGTAAAAAGGAGACTGTGAATATCCTGGATGCCTACCCTGTTCTCCCACTACACACAACTGTAATTATGGAAATTGAATGTCCCATTAAGACCACCTGCATCTAGATTGTGTTTTCCAAACTAAGGATTATGAAAGTTTTGTGATTTGGTTACCATGTAATCTGAAGTGAAACTTTAACTCAGTGAAGCACAGTGGGGCCATGGAGACAAGGAATGTGAAATTGGCCTTAATATTTACATGAGATACTTATTTGAAAGTAGTCAAGAAGTTACTTTTGATGGTTTATCAATGATGCTCCACAGACACTCACAAAAAGCATCTACTTTTGTCTATTTCACCCCAAATAGGAAGCACATAATTGTAATGATAAAGTAAGATTCTGTAAGGGGAATGCAGAAGTTCATTCCAAGATATATTTCTTCTGTTGCCCTGAGGAAAAAGATTGTGACTCAGAAAGTTGAGGAAGAACAAATGTGATTCATAATTCATTCCAAGGGGAAAATGTAATTATCAATGAAAGGATACTATATGTGAGCTCTGAAAGAGAGATTATGTGTTAAATTCCAGTGAGATTACAATACAAGAGTACTGTACAAAATAAATGTGACTGAAGTAGGTGGGTTCATATTATGAACTACATGGATTTGAGAAAGAAGACAACTTTAATTTGTGCCACCATATCTTGCATGGCTTGTAGCTTCTATGTGAGGGATTTAGTGAATCATTCTGAATTCTGTTCCAGGCATTAAAGCTGAAATTCCAAAAATATGTTCAGTACCTTAGATAGGTTTTTAAAAGTCAACTCACAGCAGCTTCACTGCACCTTTGACATAGGAACCACTGATGGTCCCTGAGCCTGTATAGCCTGTCTAGTTTTTGGATATCTCTTGGAAAAGCACTTGAGGGAGGTAGATCTGAAAATGGAAAAAGAAATAGTTCAATAGATAACTAGGAGATGGGTTCTCGTCATAAGGGATAATACTGTAAAAGGCAAAGTGCATGTGAGAAGAAACAAGACAGACAGAAGAAGCAGTACAGAATCAAACTATACAAGGCATGCACAAGCACATAAAGATCTGTTTGAGTTGCTTTTTAAAATGATAGGGAGACTAGAAGGCTGCACTTTTGACCAGACAAAGGGTTCTTCAATTTTCATACAGTGTGTATATGTATGTATGCATGCATGCACTCTAAATCATCCCTCCAATAGCTACATTGCTTCTGGAAGGACTCCAGGTGTATATTTTTAAGGCAGCCTCACTTAGATTAGGGTGGAAGAATAGCCAGTGATTAATGAGTTAAGTAAGCCTGCACCATTTCTCTACTTAGAATACCAGGCTTTGCCTCATAGGGCAAAGATGAAACATTTGACATTGTTAGACACATATGTATATAATATATGGGTTTCATTAAAAAAAAAAAACCTATAGAAATTTTAAGCATTTCAAAATGTTACAAATGCATGTGAGATTCAATGATGTGATCTAAAAAAAAATAACATGACCAGTTTGATAATAAGAATAATTATTTTGGCAGGACATTTGAAATTCATGAATAAAAAGGAAAGTAAACAGTTAAATACAGTGTGGCCACCAAGGAGGAGACTGGATAAACAGATTACTTTGTGGTGCCCCAAAGATCAACAGTTCAAAACATTGTGCACTATTCTGTGTTTCTTAACCTTTTCTTTTTTAAAAAAGAAAACAACCTTTTGGTTGTATGTGTGTATAAAGAAAAGAGGCAGAGGAAGCAATGAAGAAGCATAGGAGAGTTACAAATAGAAGTTTGAACCATCTGATCTCCTTTAAAATTCTATGAATAAAGCAAGGCAATTTCACATTAAAATCCAGCATAATGTGGTGGTTTAAGTGTTGAACTAGAATTCCGGGAGATCACAGTTTAAATCCCTGCCCAGCTATGAAAAGCCAGTGAATGACCTTGGGCATGTAACACTCTTTCAGCATCATAGGGTAATAGCAAACCTCCTCCAAACCAATCTTGCAAAACACACACACACACACACACACACACACCCTGTGATATGTTTGCCAGGGCCACCCTAAATCAGAAATTATTTGAAAGCACACAGTAACAATGGGAAATGTACAAATGATGCATGTTTAATTATAGAAACAGAGAGGACACTGTGTGTCCTTCAAAGGAGAAAAAGAAAAGAAAAATCAGGACTTCAAAATAGCATTTAACAATCCTTTGTCATTGGCTGTTTTGAGAATCAAGCCTGAGTTTTTAAAGTATATATTTTGAACTTTGCATGAAGTTCTGAGTCATGGTGATGTTCTGAATCCTGAGTGTTTTTAGAAGTATTGCACATAGGAAATACATCACTTGTTAAACTTTTGCTTTTACATTGTTGTTGTGTGCGTTCAAGTCATTTCCAAGTTATGGTGACCCTAAGGCGAACCTATCATGGAGTTTTCTTGGCAAGTTTCTTTCTTCAGAGGGAGTTTGCCATTGCCATCCTCTGAGGCTGAAAGAATGTGACTTGCACAAGGTCATCCAGTGGGTTTACATGGCTGAGCCGGAATTTGAACCCTGGTCTCCAGATTCATAATCCAACACTCAAACCACTACACCACACTGGGTCTGTCTGTTTTTACATACAGTGTACTATAGCTTTAATAAAAGCAATACTCACCTATAGGGTGATTTAGAAGATACTATAAGCAGTATTAGCACTCCACAACTCCTCCAGTTCCTTCACCTTTACTTACTACCACTACCATTGTGAAAATCTGGATGGTATAAACTCCAGATTATTCCCCCAAACCATCTGCTGCTATCATCATTTTGCTAGTGCGATAGTAAAGAAAAACTTTATATCTATTCAGAGAATAATTATTAGAGACAAGAGTTAGGATCCTGAGCTAAGTACTACGCAATGGCACCTCTTCCTAAAGCAGTGAGCTGGGAGGTTCCATTTTAGACAGTATTACAGGTGTGAGATACCATCTATGGATGGTTTTCATAGTATTCTCCCTCACAGATGCTGAATGGGATTTGTATAGGGGTGAAGACCAAATATGAGCCCATGCAGTGTCTGAAATTGTGGTTTTCTTCCTGCCAAAATAAGTGCATATATTGGCATTTCCCATATGTGTGTTTCAGGAGGTGTTTGTAGATAACTGCCACAGTCCCTTTAGTATGAGAAGCGGAATTCAAACAAAAGTTTTGAAAAAGGGAGAGTGGATGTGGAGATCCTGGAGTGATAATTAATGAGAGAGAATAGTGCTACAAAAGCAGCCATTCTTTAAAGCATAAAGCATGCAGTATTGCTTCTCATTGTTGATCATAGGTAAGAGCCATTGCCAGGTCCATGCTGCAGGAAAAGTTGCCTTTCTGTAACATAAAACTGGAGGAAATCCTAAATCTTAGCAATGAATAGTTACTGAAGATAAGAGATGAGATTTTCAACTCAGCCCTACAGTGCCTCATCCCTGCTGTAAAACATGGCATTGCTATCTTTGCACTCATAATCCTGTTTTTAAATGTTATAGAAGTAATCCAGATAATAGTTGAACTGTATTTGAGAACAATTGGATTTACAGGAAAGAAAGAACATACTAAAATTACCATTCTGATTTTCTAAGTAAAACAGATTGTAAGAAGATTTTTTTTCATCCAATAATTTTCATTTCAGTCTTAAGGTAAGATGTGTTTTGAGGGAGAATTGCTTTCTGCATTAATTCTTTGGCAATGGAGAATTAATTGTGTCCTTTAGATAGAAGAGCTGGTTCATGCTGTCCCTTCCGGGCCTTTCTGTTATGTTCATGGCCATGCTTTGCTTAATGTGGAGACTATTCATGTGAACCATTAGTTGCAATAGGCTAATAACCTGCAGTAGTCTTCTGCTCTTTCCATGATGGCAGTTGCACTGTTTCAGTCACCTGCTGTTACAGAAATAGCAGCAGCTAAATATACAGTACTTAATTAGAGGCACCAGATCACACAAACAGTGCCTCTGCATGAGCATGTCCTGAATGGGAGACTGATTGCAGCCCTACACATTCCCAAGATGATCACTATGAGCTGCCATCATGATGCAAAAGATAGATATTACTTTTTTTCTGCTTTCTATGAGATTTATACTTTCAATACTGGTTTTGATTTGTCTGTTGTTAGAAATTTCAGCTAAAATAGCTTAGCTTCAGGCTTGTAAAGCAAACCAAAACCATAAAACATTTTTGGCAGAACAGGATAGAAATTCAAGACATCAATTAGTGATACTTTTTCTCTGCATAGAACTACCAGCCTTGTAGCATGCATGCATTGTCTTCTTCCTTTTACAGTTCTTCTTTACTATCTGTTTTATTTTGTTAATCCAAAGTCCTTTCTCCAAATTCTTCTCACAAAGGTTGAATATAGAAACCAGCCCTTCACAAAAACACACTAGCCAGCTTTTCAAATTATGTGAAACAAATATCTATGTTAAATTGTTTAATTTGCACCATATATCCCATCTGCAGAATCTGGAGTTCCCATCTCTCAGGGCCATTTCATATATCATATGGAAGGCATATCAAGGTTTGCCACTGAATGTACTTGTTACAGGGAGTTGTAGCCAAGCATGGACCTCAAACAGAAACACACATTTGATGCATTTATTTCAAACATGTTTGTGATATTCATAGTTTGCGTTCTTAGGTGAATATTGAAAATATTTGGGCTATGTAGTAGGCCAGATTAGTGAATTTTTATAGAGGTTTAGGCATAGTCAGCTATACCAGTGCTACACAATTTAGAACTATTGAGGTCCATGTTATCAAATATGGACTCAATACAATCTAACAAATTTGGAAGCAATATTTTTCAGCATTGAATATGGTCTGTTTTCCAAAATGAAAGTCATCCTTTTCCAAAATGTAAATTATCTTTTAAGTATGCTCATTGCTGTTTAACTGCTTCAGTGATATTATAGATCAGGGGTAGGCAACCTTTCCCCTTTAAGGACCGAGGGACTTCAGCTCCCAGAAGCCTCAGCCATGTTGGCCAATAGTCCCATGTTGGCCAATAGCTCCTGGGATTCTGGGAGCTGAAGTCCCTCAGCCCTTAAAGGGGAAAGGTTGCCTACCCCTGTTATAGATCATGTAACCAAGGCATACAAACCTAATTCTTGTGATACTCAATGATGCTATCCCTTGAGTAGATCCTGTGTGTTATAGGAATACATTTGCCTTTTTATCAAATGACTCTACACCCTGTCCATTTATGTCTCAAAGGCTATCATATTATATTTTCCTCCTTGTAGCAGTAATGTTACTATAAGGGCTATCATGGTGCAAAGACATAGTAAAGTACAGGGGAAAGCAAAGTGCAGCCCTTGGGACAACTAGGTGCAGTCCCTGAAGTGCTCCAAAAGCCCCTAGTTCTCCCAAAAAACTGAGAGGCTGATTTTCAGGGGGGGGGTTACCCCAGAACTGGCCAAAAGCCCATAAACCAACCCAAAATGTGATAGTTTTCCCCAAAATCAACTGGAGCTTGGCCAAAATGACAAACATAAGTGACATTAGGTCATTTCTGGCATGCCAAAATGTGCTGGTATGGTCTGCTGAGCAAGTACTGTAGGAGAAAATGGCCCCTACCCACTCGCAGTTAACCACTCCTTGTGTAGTTAAGGTTTGCACTAGAACTCCAGGATAGTAGGGTTCAAATCCCTGCTTAGCCATGGAAAAAACCCTGGGTGACCATATATAAGTATCACTCTTGCAGCCTCTGAGGAAGAAATGACAAATCTCCTCTGTATAAATCTTGCCAAGAAAACCCCAGGAAAGGCTCACCATAATTCAGCCTTAATTTGAAAGGACATAACAACAAAATATGGATATATGTTTGAGTTACCTATACTAATTCTGTTTCTAATTTCTGTTCCATTTCAATAGGCAGAGTTGTTGTTGTTATGTGCCTGCAAGTCATGTCCAGTTTATGGCAACCCTTAGACAAACCTGTCATGGTGTTTTCTTTGCAGGTTTCTTTAGAGGGAGTTTGCTATTGCAAAGAGTGTGATTTGCCCAAGGTATTTGGCCAGTAGGTTTCATGGCTCAACAGGGATTCGAATCCTGGTATCCAAAGTCAGACCCTTACAATATTTATTCTAGTGCAGAGGAGTCAACAGTGCCCTTGTCACAAACATTACACTGTGATAATATACAAAGAGATATTGTGGCACCTTTGAGATAGTCTCAGAGGTGCTACAATATCCCTTTGCATACTGATCAAGACTAACACAACTATTTCTTTGAATTTTGCCACTGTGTGGTAGTGTACAAGCTTTAAGAAGTGCCTAACCTGAACAAATTGGAGAGCAAATTAGCTGGCTTATCCCCCCCCCCCCCACATAATAGAACCTGTTGTTTCATGCTAAAATTCCTTTCAAAGTTCTAGCTGACCTTTAGAACATAGAATTGACCCATGTGATTGGCTCTATAGCTCCAAGCAACTATCTCCCACACTGGTTAGAGGTCAACTGGCTCCCTCTTATGCCAGAGTAATTTGGGTAATGAAGCACAGCTCAGGATGAGTCCATCTGAACATAAATTGATCTAGCCTCCTTCATCCTAATATATTCTAGATGAGCTGGATTATAACTTCCATTATCTGCAGTTACTACAGCCTGAGGTATAGAAAAAATACTTGAATATGTGCAGACCTAATGCTTATACAATACTATTATTTTTGCCTTTTTTATATGATGCTACCTAGCTGAGATGGGAAAGAGGGGTGATTGGCTCGATCTAGAAGGTGGTGAATGACTTGTTTAAAGGGAGAGGTATGAAATTCTCTCTGGACTTGAATGGTTTTTGAGTAGTGGCTCAACTCAAGATATTCTTGGCTGACATGCACTATCAGTGTGTATTTCAATTTCAGTTTGGCTTATGCCTGGATTAAACCTGCCTTGGGACGTTATCACATGTGGCCCACAAACTGAAAATAAAGTGGAAATGAGGTATCCCAAAAATAAACAGGAAATAAACCTTGTTTCCACAAACATCATTACCTTCATTGCGAATTTACAGTAAGTGCATTGAACGTCCGCACACAAGAGAAAAAAAAACATAAATATAGTAGAAATGAGCCTCTTACATATGCGCAGATAGAGGAATGCTCACTGGAACCATGGCAACAGCAGGGAAATGCTCCCCAATGCGCATTTGGCGATCACGTTACGGTAAATGCGTAATTACCATAATTACGTATTTGCATTTCCTCCAAACAACTGAATTACAAAAGATCGCGGTTAACACCAGTTTCTGTCCACTTTCTGTCCAGTTTCTGTGCGACGTGTGAAAACACGGGGCACTAATCCAGTTTCTGTCTGGATTTTGTGTGGATTAACCAGCAGATTTGCCCCCATGTGATAACGTCCTTGGTAGCTCTACTAAACCATATTTGCTGGGTGCAATATAGGAAATGTGACTTCAAATATATCTAGATTTCTAAGTGACTTTTGATACCATTGACTGTGGTATCTTTTTCTACAGGTTGGCTACAATGGAAGTTTGGGGGCATTGCCTTCCATTGGCTTCACAACTGCCTAGAGAAAGAATTCCATCTTATTCCCCATGCTGTTCAACATTTAAGTGAAACT